ACATTGCGCAGCATTTATCGTGCCCAATGCCCTGAAGAGTACTAGTTACGAAACGTTGGCACCGAGTAGTTTCATGGGCGCGTGCATAGTCAGCTGCATTCGTTGGCATCGGTTTGAACATCCTACAGAGCTAGTTGCTCCCTGGACCCGGGAGAGAAGTGAAGTGTGAGAGAGAGAGAGCGAAACAACCCCTTTCGGACGCTTCCACTGCAGTTTGCGCAGGCATGTTGGGATTCGCAGTTTGGTCCACAGTGGAAGTGCCCTTGGTAGCGCATGCGCAATCTTGCCGCCCGGTCCACAACGGTCGGGGGCGCTTACAGCGCGCGGGCAAGGGGGGCTTCCCTCCCTGCCCACAGCCCTGGCGAAAGAAGAGAAAGAGCCCCTTCCAAGGGGAGCGTGCTGCGCTCCAACTCTGCAGCAAGCAAGAGAGAGAGAGAGAGAGAGAGAGAGAGCCCTGCAGAAAGAAAGAAAGAAAGAGAGAGTAGATCCCGCCTAGTGAGGTCAGGGTGAAATTCTGGTCACATCCCTATCCTTGGTGACGACCTATCCGGGGCCGGTTTCCTGTAATACCTGTCTTCTGCAAGTCGTGCCAAGCACGCTTCAGAAACACGCGTTCCTCCTCACAAAGGTTTGCCCACTCGGGGCCCGTGAAATACCACCGCCCCGCACCGCTTCTTTCTGTGTTGATGCATGACGTCCGAGTCCTGGGCGAATGGGGCCGGGGCACACGCAGGATTGCTGGTTTAAGTTTGTGTTGCAGAGAGCGTGGCGCCCAAAACCCTACTCGAGTGGGACCTGCCCTTGCGGCGGTTGCGAACTGAGACAGGGAACAGACGCCGGACTCGGGAGCAGGGGCAGGTTCCCGTTCTCCAGGCCCACGGAAAGAAAGCAAGAGACTGTGACTGTTACTTGTGTTTGTGTCCGTGTGTGTGTGTGTGTGTGTGTGTGGTGTGTTTGTGTGTGTTTGCTGTTTGTGTGTGTGTGTGTGTGCAATCGAGCCCTTGGGAGCGAACTTGCTCTTGCTTGGCTTTCCTAGGTGGATAAGGACTCGGAGGAGTTCAAAACACAGAAAGAGTCGGGGCTGCATAGTGGCACGGTGACGGTTTTGCTGTGAAGCCAATCTGCGTACCTATTGCCAACATGCGGAAGGAATACTTCCTTTCATCGTGTCAGCCCTGGTCGCACAAGTACGACTTCGATCTGCAAGTCGCGAAAGTCTTTCGTAAGCTGACTGATATGAAGACTTGGATGCTAGTGGGAAGGAGCTGGACCAACTTGAGGTTGCTTGTTCCATCGTGCCAGGCATCGACAAGCCCGTCGTGGCTTCATCGCCTGAACCTGAGAGGGTGCAGGCCTGAAATCTTCATCCCCAGGCCCCAGGCAAGGGCTGGCTAAGGCCGAGTGGCTCGCGGCCTGCTGGCGCGAGCCGCCGGCTCTTCCACGGCACTCCCTGGGAAGCCGCGTCTCGGCTCAGGGAGCCGAGGGCCGTTGACCGTTGAGGAGCCATTGGAGCGAGCCATTGGAGCCCGTCTGGAAACGCCCCGCCGAGCCGAGGCTATGGGAATTGCTTGCGACGGATTCCGGCTCCCGAGCCACGCAGGTCCGCGCTTCTGGTGCACTTCAATCGGCTCACTAGCATCGGAACGCTTGATGTCAGCTGAAGCAGCCGCAGAAGCATATGGACATTGAGTAGTATGCTACAGCACGAGGGGAAGATGAGCAGGACAGCAGCAGCAGTGGTAGTACTACTAGTTAATGGTACAAGTCGTAATGGTAGGAGTAGCCCTGGTAGTGGTGGTGGTAGTGGTGGTGGTAGAGGTGGTGCTGGGTAGTAGTAGTAGTAGTAGTAGTAGTAGTAGTAGTAGTAGAAGCAGAAGTGGTAGTAGAATAGCAGATTAGCAGGCTCTGTAGTAGCAGTAGGAGTAGTTGCAGTTGTAGTTCTGGCTCTAGCTTTTGTCTTGGAATTGGAAATTAATAGTTGTAGTTGTAGTCGTAACCTAGCACCACCAATCACGACTTCTCACAGACACCACAACAACTGCCGCTTCCAGCAACCCTGCAACTCTTGACAACAGCTTCAGCAGGCAGCCGCCACAGCACCCCTGCACAGCATCCCGACGGAGGACACCTTACGCAAAAACTCTTGCATCTCACAGCAAGCATGGGACCTCATCCATCGACCCACAGCAGCTCGGCGCTCACGGCGACACGACTTGGAATGAAAATTACGCAGCGAGATCAGAAAGCCAGCCCGCAGCGACAACACCTGCAGTTTGAAAGCATGCGTTGCGGAGAGCGAGGCCACTCTGGACTCAGGTCCGAGTATACAAACACGCCCAGGACTGGCGCAAACCTACACGGAAGATCCGCGGGGCAGCACCAGCAGCTCCTCACATGGGCAGGGCCAACCACCCCCAATCACTCACTTGTCACGGTCATCAACCTAGACCCCATCTCCACCCTTCACCGAAGAACTCACAGAATCTGAAGCAACTGGCAGCAAACAAGTCTCCTGAACCAGACAATCGCGAACACGTTCTGAACCACTCCCTGCTCACAGCCACCATCCCAGCAGCTGGCTGCCGTCCACTTCCCAACCAAGCAGACATTTTTTTTTGCCAAAGTGTTTCACACCCAGTCTTCGACGATAGACCACACGCTGGCATCCGGAAAGGACTCCTACTTCACCTTACGTGTTCCTCATAGTCCATGGGATGATAACGCACAACGTGCGCCTAGCAGTCCCTGCAAGTGTTCCACCTTGCCAACAAAAACCTTCGAGTTGCCTGATCGTCCGAGAGAGGTAAGGGTTGTCAGTTTAGCGAGCGGTTCGGCTGGCACGAAGCTGTTGTCTGTGTACACGGCAGGCATGTTCGGGAAGGGGATCTATTTTGCCGACTGCCCGCTGAAATCCTGGCGGTACTGCTTCTCGAGCAGCCTGTCATGCATGGACGTGCATCAAATCGGCGCAAGATCGGTGCAGTTGTGTCGTGACGCTTCCTGCAGGCAAGCAGATGGCCGATTCGTTGCCAAGGACTGATGTCTTTAGAATTCTTTAGATTCGCACCGCCCTCTTGCTTATTTGCGTGTTCCTGCACTCGACCAGGTATTCTCAAGCTTTTAGTATGTCTGGGTACATGACTCTTCCATGACTTCCTGACACTTGCGCACAATCGGTTGTCGCTCTGCGAGCGACACCCACCGGAAGTCCGGGGATGCTTCACTAAATGAACAGCATACTTGTTGGAACGGAAACAGAATCAAAGCGGTAAGTTTGAACTCGATCGGACTTTCATTGGCAAGTGTACACACTTGCTTTAGCTATTCGGTTGAACACTCTCAAGTATCTGGCACGAGCTGAAATGCGTAAAGTTTGTTGAGTGAATCAACACAGAGGAGGGAGAAATATGAATGAGTCAAGCAATGGTTAGGGCGAAGTGCAGAGAGTAATGCACGGAAGCAATAAAGAGAAATGCAATTAGAAGCTCCTCGAGACCAGTCAGCCACTTCATAGTCGTAGGGGCGCTTGATAGAGCTGCCTTGTGTCACGCCTCGGCTTCTCCCGTGAATACCCTCTGGTTTTATTTGTGTGTTGGTTGTGAGAGATGAGGTAAGGGTGAAGGTGATGGGGCTGATTGGCTGGATGTCTTGTTCTCGGGAGAAGTGCCGTTGCTCGCCTAGCCACGTCGAGACCTGCTATGTAGTGCCTTCAGATGCGGCCACGTGGGAGCCAAACTTCATAGTCGTAACCCCCATAGACAGCAGCAGCGACTTGGAGAAAGATGTGCGGCAGCCAAGTAAGTCAGGCCAAGACAACAGCATAGCTAGTCTTTGAAAAGCAGGCACGCACGATTGACCAACAGCATCGCATGCAACATCTACATCCGATGAAGAGCCTTCATGGTGTTTTGTTGCCATGTCCGGGAACATGTCCTCCCAAGGGTGATCCAACATGGACAAACCTTACGGTCATGCGTGCCCATCTGTACCTTCTATGACTGAGGCCTTTATCACAGCATATGGGCCAAAAATGGCCAAAGCTAAACAGGTCCACGGCTCCTGGCCGCATGTGCAGTGAAAAGCTTCTGGAAAGGGTTGAGGAGGTCTATAATAGGGTTGCCATTGGGCTGCGGCATTGGTAGCCGAGAGAGCTGTTCCGGACTTTTTCGATCCTGCCTCTAGCGTTTGAAAGCCTGGAAAATGGAGCAACAGTAAGGGAAACTTACCGAAACCAAAGAAAACCAAAAATCCTGTGCTTGACATTTCTGTCTTTCATTTTTCGGGACAGATGTTGGTCCATCCATGCTGTGAGCCTGGGACTTCGCGCTGGTCCATCTGTGCTGTGAGCCCGGGACTTGACACTTTCTGAGACATGTCCGTCTGTTGGTGTGCGGTGCTACAACTCCTGCTTTCCTAACTGGACATACGTGTGATAGATACCAGGCGGTTTCCATCAAACTACCTGGTATGTTACGGTATGTATCACGTCACTGCTGAGTGAACCTGACAACGAAATTTATGCATGATGCGCATGTGCTTGTCGCCTGACGAAAGGCTGTGCGCCTCAATTCGTAATCTGAATCATGATATGTGGAGGGTTGGACGCTGACTGGCATTTTGCCAAAGAGACACTTCAAAGAGTGTTCTCCCTAATGGGCGTATTTTCTTATGAAACGTACGCTACATGCCTTTGAACTGTGAATTGTGCCAGTAAGCCGGCCATGATTCAGCATGCAGGTCTTACCGATATGGGGGCCCGAATGCACTGGAGTAACAACATCACCCTGCTTCGCGACATGTTCAGCTATAGGCAACAAAGACAACCAACCCGAAACTACGCTTGAAAAAAGCAACAGTAAGGAAAACTTACCAACACCGAAGGAAACCAACAGAAACTAGGGAAAGCTAAAACAACCTAGAAAAGCTGGGAAACAAACGAAGTAAACCTAAAAAACTAAACGATTCCTAGATTTCGGGCCTGCACCCGGACGTTTTTTTCAGTAACCTTCCTAAGCAAGACTGGAGCCTTTCAGAGGCTCTGTAGCCCGCTTTCGAACCATCATGGCGTGAGCATTCACATGCCAAAGTCTCAGTCTAGCAGGTTTAACTCGGTTTAACAATGGATGCTAGCGTTAGTTCTAAGCAAAGGATTTATCTTGGAAAGTTTTAGTTCCGTTACCCGTGGTCTGCCGCTGAAAAGACCTCCGATATAGGAGGTGTAGTTGCCAGCCGCATCTGCCCGATCCGACGAAAGGATTCTTGGCCGCGGTGGCTACATTCTTATGTGCTGGGTGGACCTTGGCACAAGACGAGAGGATTGCCAAGCTGTTCGTGCAGTCTAGCCCGGTGGGTTCTGGGTATGGTGTTGTGCAGGAGAAGGAAGCTAAGCCAGAGCTTAAAGGCTACAATCGACGAGGTTGGATGGCTTGGCTGACAGGCCGCACCGCAAGTTTTGCACGGCTGTGCATAGCTAATGGAGCTAGTGAAGCCAGTGTGCGGTGAGCCAAGGTCAGCGTGGGGCTTCTTGATAGCACTGGCCCATGTATCAAGCAGCGCACGCTGACGGACAAATTTGGTGAGTCTGTCTCAAACGGCGCATGTGAGGCTTATGATTCAGCCGGGACCCAAGCTACAGAGCATGTGCAGCGTTGATTTCTTTGCTTGCGGCTCTTGCCGTTGACCCTGTAGGGTAGTTTCCTCCATGCGAGGTAGTTGGAATGACGGTGCTTTTGCTGCATCTGTGGTTGCCGTATGTGCCAGCAGTACAACTCCATCCTTTTTCTGGTTCGTTGCAGAGCCCGAGGAAGAGGAGGGCGGTGCACTACGTGTCCCAGAGATTCTTTGCTGCATAGCAACACCACCAAGACGGTGATTGCCCGATGAAAGAAGCGATGTCCATACGGGCTTGTGCGAGGTATATCGTGTACGACACCTCCCAGGTGGCCTTCACAGTAGCATCGTGTGTCGCCCTGGGGGCCAGGAGCCTGCCATGTTGAGACGTGCCATGCGGAGGTTCGGTTGGCCTACCTCTTTGAAGTGTTCAAACATGAGCGGGGTACCGCGCAGCAGTCGAACTCTAATCAAGCTTAGGCCTAGGCCTTTTCCAGTAAGATGATGAAGTCATCTGCCTGCAAAGCTTTGTACATACGGGTGGTTCCGGCACATGCCTGCGGAAGTGCGAGATTGTTTGCAAATGCAAATGCAAGTGGCGAAGGCTTTCCACTGCATCTTTTGCAAGCAGCAGCAAAAGTTGGTTGGTCCTGCAAATGCTTTGGCCTTCTTCTGGTTTCTGTCTTAAGGGTGAAAGCCGGCTGGCCAATCGTGTGATGTCCTTGCTGCCCTGCCTGATGTTCTGCTCAGAATCCACTGAATTGCGCTGCATAAGCTTCACGATGTACATGGCCTGTCAGGGGCAGATGCATTAGGCATCCGGTCAAGACACGAGCTGCAAGGCAGGAGTGCTTTCTAGGACCTCTCTCTGCAAAGATATGCAACAGTTAAAGGCAAGATAGCAGACCCAGCAAGCTCTGGAAATGGATTGTCCATGTTTCCACCATGTTTCCATCTCGTGTCAACGTTGCCATCGCCCGAGCATGTTTCCAGACCGTGCGCGGGCAGAAACAAAGCCGGTCAAGGCTGCTTGTCTCTGCTGCTCTCAGGTCTATGGGAAGAGATGGGCCATTGCAAAAAAGCAGCATGGAAACTGCCGTGTCGACATTGTGCACGTTTCCGAGGCTGGCTGGAGGTTTGGGTCGAAACCTGGCTTTGTGTCTCGGGCTGTGGGGTTTCGCTTCGCTGCGCTCCTTGATGACGGCCAGGTGGAAAAGGAGCGGCAATTCCGAAAGAACGGAGATGTGAAGTGGCTGTGCGCGGCCAAGGAATGAGTCGCCAGTCCACCTTCGGCACAAATTCGCCCCAGGATCCAAAAGGATGGCAGGTCGGAAGGGTTCTTGATCAGAAATGCACCGCCCTCATTTGGGGCAAAGTCAATCCAGATGAAAGTAACCATAGTAACCTGGATCATGTAAGCTTGGAGCAAGGATCATCATCCCCGTCGTGCCCTCACAGGCTTGTCGGCCATATGTTGGGATAGGGGGTGGAAATTCAGCAGCGCTGATCAGGTGGCATCCCGATGATGCTTGAGAGTGTCAGTCGGTCCAACATCAACCAGCGATGGCTGCTGGGACCTTGGCCGGCCTTTGGCATGCAGCGGCATTGAGTTGATTTTCTTCGGCTTTTGCCTTCCAAGGCTTTGCTTTCCCAGAGGTCCTCCTGGGCCTCACGAGCCCTTTTTCATCAAGAGTGCGCTTAGCCTTGGAAAGTCTTCAGAAAACTAGGTGCGATGCACTGAAGTGCGCCATTAGAGCATTCGGTGCTAAGGCCATCAGTGGGATGTACCTTGTCGTTGATGAGGGCCTACGGATGGTGACGCTGCAGAAGGCCCGAATTCCATAATTCGAGCCGCGCACAGAGCTGCTTCTCGTTGAGCCTCGTAGGATCCTCCGGACCTTCATTGGCGCACCCATGATGCGACGCGCAAGGCCTGCCTTCCGAAGTGCGATCCTTAAGTTCAACGCGGAACTTTCCAACTTAACCCACAAGACAGGCGGAATCCTTCAGTACCTCTCTCGTGCGATGCCCAGCAGACATGGCTGCTGAATTTGCTGCAGAGCTTGATTTGCACAGTCGCCGTTCAGTCGGTACAAGGTGGTGCCTTCATCAGTGCAGACGCGACGACCCTACAAGAGCATGTTTCAGCATGCGTTAGATCAGACCAGGTTTAAAGCTGGCGCAGGGCCGACGTCGCAGCACCGGGGCTCAAACTGGGGTTCGCGGTCGCAGGGGCACCGCCAAGAGCTTGGCCGAGGCAGGACCGCCCCTTGCAGATTCTGCCATTCGGAATCAGGTCCGAAAGAGTGTAAACTACAGTTGATCACAGGCTACATGCTTCAATCAATGTCCCGCATGATTTAGCAGTACGTCTTCAGTAATGGAAGCCGCTGCCGCTGTTGTCGTCGCCATATATAATCCTCGGCCAAAAATAGAAACGATAACGACCACCACAGTAGCATCAGCAATACTAGCACTTTCAGCAACAAGTCGCCTAAGACAGGGCGCACTTAACAACCATGGGGATTTTTCGATGCCTTTTGAATTATGTACTTTGTCTTTGTTGTGCTTGTCATATGTTGTGCCGCCATCATGCGACAGGGGATGGTCATCGCTTCAGAGTTTACAGAGCAAAAGCCTACTGGTGGCCGTTGGCCCAGAGTCTCGTGCAGAGTTTGTCAGCAAGCCTTCTGCATGCAGTTGAGGCAGTAGCTTCGGAGGCAAGGCAGTGGAGGTTCCACCGACGATGCAAGATGTCTTTGGCGGGGTATGGGCAGGCAACTTCCGAAAGACCGCCTTTGCAGCGTACGTCTTCCCCAAAGGAAGACAGCTGGAGAGAGATGGAACACAAAGGCCGCGCAAGGCATCGCCTTTTGCCGATCAGTCCATCTGGAGTTGCCGTGCTGCACAGGCTAGAGCATGCAGAGCAACGGCAGATTGCGGGTTTGGTGGACCCTGCGTTGTGCTGCCAGGCTGCATTCAAACGGATTTCGTTTTGAAAGCAGTCACATGTCCGAGCACAAGACATGGCTTTCGCCACCAAGGTCAGTCAGCGGCGATGGCATATGCAGCAAGCAAAAGGTTTCAGAAAGAGAGGTTGCTCACGAATTACTGGCAGCAGCTTAGCGAAACTGTGGGCAAGTGTCTTGCCCCAGCTGGGTATGTCAGTGACAAGGCTGCTTGTCACTTACTTGGCTGGATGCAAACCCCAGCTGCATAGAAATTCCAGGCATGCTGAAGGTGGAGTGCTCCAGCCCCAGATGAGCTGTTGCTGAGTTCCCTGATCCTCGTGCGAGAGCTCGCTCACCAAGGAAGCTAGCCACCTTTGTCACGAAGAAACCGGCTTCCCGGTCTTCGTCTGTCCCAAGTCTGACACGTGCAGCGGAACCAGAACCCAAGGCCAGATGGTTTGAGTTGCGACTTGGTTCATGCGGGTGCACGCGAGTTTGACGCCGGGTGGGTTGTAATGTTCAATGATTAATGGTTGGCACAACACGGCTCGTTGCCGAGGTGTTCATACAGCTTAGTAGTCTGCCATGAGCATAGGCAAAAAAGAGCAAGCAAAGCGTGAATCGTCCTCCAAGCACATCGAGCGAATCCTGCTGTAGAGGTGCCCACTTTAGATCTTTTGCATGTACGTGTAGGGAGCATGTCGAAGTCTGAGGTTTCTCCAGGTTTGATGTTACGATTGTCCGTCCGGACCAGTTCGTCATGGTTGGGCATTCGTTCGGGCTGTTGGCGGCCCCGTCTACAATTACAACTACAGCGGTCGCTCGGCCGTCGTCGCCGATTTTCTGAAACTGCTGCTCAGTTGCCAGCTTTCAATCTCTGTGACGATGAGTATGGCGGCTGAGCACTCGGAGACCACTCGGTTGGTCTTTCCATAAGCCGACAAATCACTCTTTGCTGGGTCTCGTTACGATGCGATGAAACTTCAAGGGCTCCGGTCCCACCTGGGGTGCGATTGTTTGACTTGCGATCTGTCGCCTTGAGATTAAGAAGTCCCGCAAAGCAGGAATTGCTTGCCTTTGCGCAGGGAGATGTGTGGCAAGCCCAAGTTCTAATCTCCCAGCTATTGGGGTTAGATTCAGAGTTCTCTTGGGCAACAAAATTCACAGAACGATCTGAGCCCTCCCTTGCTGTGATTATGTGTGGCCTTCGCTCGGTATGAAGCGGCTTCCGAGACTTGTTCCTCAGTCACATATATTCACATGTCATTTCACGGTTGCGGCTCAAGACCCCGCCGATCAACATCTCAACTGGAAGTTTTTGCAACACGCAACTGTCGCGGATGGTTGGGCCTTCAACCTCCCGTGGCACCGGTTTGCTGTTTGAGCCTGTCTCCAAGAGGCGTGGCCATCAGTGTGTGCTGTTCGGGCTGGGTTTCGAGGTTGTGCGCAAGTGCCCTGACCTGCCGGGTGCGGGCGTCGGAGAGGCGGATGGTCGATGGCTACTATGCCATGCAATGCTGCATGTATATAGGAATTGACAGGTATCCTACTTAACTTCGCTGCCTAGCGACTCGTTCAACAACGCAGAGAGGGGCCGTGATGCTTCGTCAATTTCTCTCATGCTGACCCTCCTGTGCCGTGCTACTTTCCTCGGAAGACAGGTCTGCATGGTTTGCTAGCCGTGGCGGCAGCGATTGAAACGTTTAATGACCAGATCCCTTTCTGTGTTTTCGTGGATGTGAAGTCTAGCGGCGTTGATCACGGGCTTTTGGAGGAGAATGTTTGTCAGTTGGTGGGATGACGGATGAATTGAATCTGTTCTGAAGGGTCCGGACAGACTCAAATCCTGCCGAAGCGCTCTCTCGTCGTGACGTGGCGAGCGGATTGATTTGCAGGTGGATCGGTGCTCCATGACAAGGTGCTATTCGACGAGTTTAGGCAAGTTTAGGCCTGTGTCGGGTTATCACAGGCCCGGTGTGATACCGATTATGACTATGACCGCATCATGCGTATGTTCAGCCCGGTGATCGGCGTGCGGCGGGATCCCGAGATCCTCCCTGCGGCCACAGCAAAAAGGTGCCATCACAGCGACTCCTCGAACGGTGACGAACGATTGGGACATGGGACTGTAGCCTTAACTGGCAGGGGCCAAGTGTGAGGATACGCAGGACCTGCAGACGTGGACTTAAGTGCAAGAAACCAGTGCGTAAATCAGTCGCTGTCATGTAAATCTCTGTCTTGGTGTGGTCGATGTATGGACACGTGGAGGCAATGCCAGAGCCGGTTCAAGAGCCAGAGCCCGTCGAGGAGGTGCTCTCAGAACCGGTTTTCGAAGAGGAGACCCAGCTTAAGCATGCGAGTGCCGTTGAGAAGTTGTCATGGGCTGTGGCATGACCATTAGCATTCCTGTGCATGCAGTGCACGGCTTCAGAAGCTCACGGAATAACTGCAGACAAAACGGTTGGATGCATGTGGACAGCCGGGTGATCGTGTGGGGCATTGTAGTGGATCATGGAAACGGGCCTGGAAGTGTCTAGACAAGAGCGGCATTTAGAGGATGAGATGCCATTCAGAAAAGGAGGTGGCTGCAGACTCAGAGGAGGGTTGGTTCAGCTACCACAGCCGACCCAATACTCTGGTTGAAAGCGGACTCTAGCACGATAAGCGGTTCTCTTCCAACAGTTTCAAGAGTGTATCCTTGCCCTCCCAAGACTTAAAGAGGGAACACAAATCAGCATCTCGTTAAGAATGTGCGTGAAACTGTTATCGTAAATGGGTGCCGCTGACGAGGCCTTCTGATGTTCATGCAGTTGCAGAGGGATTGGGCCTCGCTGTCTTTGCATGCAGTGCGGTTTGCAACACGGCCGGCGAGAGCTTGCGATCGGTCTTGGTGGAGAGGATTGTGTTTGCGATGCTTCTCAGCTGGTTTTTGCAGGAGGAGCAGCCTCAGGAGCTCTCCCCGCCTCCCGGTTGAAACTCATCGCAGGGTTCCAGAGATATGAAAAAGGTGGCGCCTTCGTTTATTGGAGCCAACTCAGGTCCATGCAGTCGCGGATGATGTGCCTCGTCAGAGACAAAGATGCCAGCCAGTGATACGGTATGGAGGCCCAAGGTTCTTTCAGCTCTTGCAGTGAACCCAAGCGTCCTTTCGGTGAAAACGCCTTGGGGATTCGAGGGTGGCCGCTTTCCAGTTGTTCTTTTCGTGAAGCTCGTCCTTGGTTTGTTTAGGTTGAGGATTACCTGTAGCCTCACAGACCTACATATTAATTTTAGTAGGGCTCATTCGCATGGAGCCTTTCCATAATCCGCAGGACAGGGTTCAACTAGGTTGTGCCGAGGTTCCGTTAGCTTAGGGTAGGTTCGGGCCAGTTCAAGCTAAATTAGGATTGGGTTAGGCCACATTCGGTTAGGTTAGGTTGGGTCAGGTTGCTGCGGTTTCGCTTCTATCGACCCAGCATCTGAACCAGCGGCAACACTGCTCAGTTCTCCGTGTGGCAATCGGGTTCGATATCCGAACCGTCGATTGTAAAGCTGGGAGTGCTCAGGGCTTGTACAAGTCCATTCGATTGATACGATTGCGATTTGGGATTCATGCTGCTGAGTTGGCTACAAAGACAGCATTTAATGTTTTGATGTCGTAGGTTAGGTAGGGTCTGTCGGGGGTCGGGTTGGGCTGAGTTAGGTCAGAATCAGGGCAGGCGCCAAGGTGTGGTCCGGCCAGGCTCAGGTTAGGCTAGGATAGATTGTCTTGGGTCGGGTTGCGTTAGGGAAGGTTAAGTTGCTGTGGGCTGGGGTATCGGGTCAGGGGGGTCGACACAGGTTGGGTTGGGATAGGGCGTCTCGCCGGGCAGGTGAAGCGAGGTTGAGGGCAGTACGCTAGGTTAGGTTCCCATACTCCGGTTGGGTCAGGTTCAGTGGGCCAGGTTTAGGCCAGGTCAAGGGTGCATTAGCTTAGGTTGAGTTGGGGTTGGGGTGGGAGGGGTTGGGTCAGGTTAGGTCAGTTGCAGTGGCTAGGTTAGGTCGGGGGAGGTTGTGTCAGTTATGTCCGGGTGGGTGAGGTTAGACCGTTCGGGTTAGGGTGGGCTTTTGGTCACTTACTAGTCCCAGGATGGGTTAGGTTAGGTTATGGTTGGGCTCCTAGGATGAAAATTAGGTCGTAAGGTGTGATCACACCCCTGCCTCTGCTAGAGAAGATGGATTACGTTTCATGCTGTTCCGCTTTCAGGAACTCGCGATGGTATCCGCATCCTTCGCTGACAAGAGGTTCGCTGAAACTCTCGACTCCAGCAGCTCTTGCACAGGGCATAGATCCTGAGAAGGAGAGGTCGATTGCGTTAACTACCTGGTTTACGATGCATGTCGATGCCCACAGAGTTTGTCGAAGAGTGTTGCTTGATGCTTGCAGGACAAAGGCCACCAATGCCCCTTCTTCGAGGGTAGCAAGCATCGCTTCAAAGACGTGCAAGACCGACCAGATGCTCAACTGAGAGAGTCTATGTGGCTCAGCAGCATGAAAAAATTGGGCATTCAGTGAGGGCAGCCAAGACAGCGTTCACCAAGGCGCTCCATGAAATGGAAATCGGAGGATCTGTGGAACAGCCAGGACGTGCACAAATCTTCGAAGATTACCAGCTTCCGCTGAAGAGTCTGGGTCTATGTCTGTGTTTCACCACAAAGCTGAGCTGCAGCTTCAATCAAATTGATGCGGGCAGCACCTCAAGCTTGACAAATGAGCAGCGGAATGTGATCATTGGAGAAACAGGGGTCAGCAGCTGCATTTCAAGGCTCAGGGTGTTGCGATTTTAGTCCTGTGGTCGCATGCAAGGCCTTGTGGCGGCCAGTTAGAGGACGCGCCTGGGACTCTCGGGCATGAAGTCGATTGCGGTTGCTCAGGCTTGCAGGCTGTCGTATCGTGAGCCACGCAGGAAGCCTTGGCGCTTCCCGACTTGGAGCCATACGACGGTGATGTCAGCAGCGCCTTCAGAGAAGGGCCGGCCTCTGGCAGCCCTGTGCTCAGACGGTGGTGCGCAACGCAAAGTGAAGTAAAAGCTCAAGCCGTGTGCATCCAGCTCAGGATCTGTTGCCGACGTGTCCTCGCCTCCCGACTTGGATGCTTCGTCAAGCTTCACCCCAGTGGAGCAGATGCTGCACGAAGAGGCCATTTGACCCGGCAATGTTTCCAGGCAGAGGACTCTACCAGTTCCAAGCAATCCCGTCAGATGGTCCTCTGCGATGCGCACGAGCTGCTGCCCCAGATCAGAGAACGAAAGTTGCCGTTTTTTTTAGAGGTTACGAAGTACTCGTAGAGTCTGTACCTGTCGTAGTCTGGGAGGCTGCTGCCTGAAGGGAGCGGCCTGGCACCTGCAGATGCCCGGATCTTGGCAACATCGGGGCCCATAGGGCCATAGGGGATGGGGGAGATCGGCGCAAAGCCGCAACAATGTACTGCCCTGATGCCTTGGAGGTGTTTCAACGCCTGTGGGGTCGTGGCACTTCTTTTGTGCAGAGCTACCAGGCACGAGACACAATACAACCCTCGTCGGCTCTTGACTCTTGACATTGGCAGATGTAGAACTGAGCAGCTCTTGGGTGTGATGTATGCAGGCGCGCAGAAATGGCACGGCCCTGACTCACATGCACCAATTCGGGTGTAGAACTAAACGATGCATCGAGGCCGGGACGTGTTTTGGCCGGCACCCGACTTCCTGTCTCAAGTCTCAACCATGCGGCCCGGAAATCAGAGTGCCTGAGGTCTGGTCCAGGCATAAGCACGGAGCTCAGGCAGATCGCTGGCCATCGTTGAAAAGCAACAGCACTGTGAGGTGAGAACAGGCCGTGGGAGGCATTTGCTGAGCTCACGTGCTCTGTCCGGGTTGGGCGCTCGAGCTTGGCCCAAGAACTGTTGCAACGTTTCCTTGATTCGACGAATGCCAGGTCCCAGTGCTGGGATGGCGGCCGTACCAAGAGGTGGGGATTCAGGGACCTTGTGACTTGGCTCTTTGTGTTTGTGCATCGATTTAGATGGGTGCGTGCACTTGAAGCGTGGCCAAGGCAGGATGGACACATAAATTGCCTATGCATATGCACACATACTCACACACATGCCTACATACATGAGTGCATGCATACCGTTGAATTTTGGGAATCCATGCAGAAGAGCACGATGCCGGGGCAAGGCCAGCAAAGTTTTGCCGGCTCTCAGCATTTGGCAGGTCATGCGATTTGCACTTTGCTACGAACCTGCAGCATTTGCTGCACGGGCCTCTCAGGGTTTGTCCTAGAGCCTCAATAGGATGCCCTGGAGTTGCTCTTGCACTTGCTATCTGCTATCTCGCGATTTCACTCAGGGCAAGTTTTCCGCGATGGATGTCAGTGAAGTGTTGGCGGTGCAGCTGGTCCGGCACAGTGGCCCCAAGCAGCTGGCAAGTGGTGTGGTCGTGTCTGCAGGTTGGGAATGTCGATGCCGGCAGCATGGGGAACTTTCGCAGCGAGAACTTGATGCTCTTTTATCAGTGGTCACCTGAGACTCAGTGAGAAGGAGCACAAGAAAGACTCAGCTGCATCAATGCATGATATGCATGGCCAGGCCGATGTGCCCAGGGCCAACTGTGCGCGAGGCTCAGTGCTGTCCAGGTCGGCCCTTGCGATTCAATTGTCGGGGTCTTCGGGGTTACTTGTAGCGGCATCAGCGGACATCGTGGCCTAGCAGGCAGAAAGCCCAACTCCCTCCAGCCATTGCCCAAGTCCGTGTTGAATCTGGCAAGGCTCCGGGCATTGGCTTTGACTCCCAAAGGGCGGTTCTCGCGTTGGCCTCGACGACCAAGTCAGTCTGTTTTTTGACGAGTCGGTGGCAATGGGCCTCTAATCTGACAAAGCTCGAACCTGCCACGTGTTCGGCATTCTTGTGCCACACTCCTGCATCACCGTGCAAATATGCGCCCTGTGACACGCGCCCCTTCAGCCTGACGTTAGTGGCCAAGGAGTATGGCGGTTGATGGCCACCGCAAGGCCGATGTTTTGCGGGCACCGAGCCGGAACACAAGTGGGAGCTGTAGCAGCGAGGTCTGGAAGCGAAGGGTGTACATGGACATGTTTAGACTAGTTTAGACTGTGCCGATTAAGAAAGGATTCCACGGTGCTTGTAACTTCGTTATGCTCAGTTGTTGCCCTGGCAGGCTTTATCCGATTTTATTCATGCCGTGCAAGAGGAGGCAAAGAAGTGGTGCTGGACCCAGCTGAGTGGGTTTGTGCTGAGGCTCGTTTATCACAGTTGAAACCCAGCAATACGCATCACAACGCACTGTTCAGGCACGTCAATGGGCATCAACCTGTCAAGGCATGGGACAGCAGTCAAAGCAGGGAGGTGTTCTTAGCTCGGCCTGGGTACCAGGCTGCTGTCGTTGACGCTAAAGCAAAGGGTCCACCGGTCTGGACCGCCAAGTTGGAAATATTGCAGTTGCACAGCATCAGATGTGATGTGTCTAGGGAGTGCTTTCTGAGGCAGAGGATTGCTGCTTCGCGGGTGTTTGCAGTTTAAAAGACACCTGCGCTTTAATGTAGTTCGGCCTGCCCTAGATTCTTCTGGACTCTAGAGAGGCAGCTGTAGGACTGTAGGAACTGTAGGCAGCTCGCTCGTAAGTGGGACCTGCGCGGCTCTTGGCTTGAAGCCCAGGGCCGGGTCTTTCGCTGTTACCAAACGTCTATGGCCCAACATGGCCTCGAGCTATCCAGGACGTTTGAACTGCGACAAGGCATTGCTTAGTGACATAGTGCTGCCGCGTGGAATTCGAAGAAGGAGACCGTGAGTCCGTGAGTGAGACATGCCTGGACGGAAGCAAAGTCCCTTTCCGCGACGAAGAGGAAGTGCCGCAGCCGTTCAAGTAGCAATTTGTCGGTCTAAGCCAGCGGAGATGAATGGTACGACTGCAGGGACCTCGGGCTGTGAATGTTTCCACTTGGAGCCCGTGGCACATCATGGCACATTGCGCTGAGGCTCTGCTTCGCACATACGGGTCCCGAGTCTTGCAGCTGCCTGTTGTGCCCCTGCCTCAGGCTTGATGTATGCATTGCAAGTGCACGGATGCGAGTTGCATGAGGCAGCAGCTAGCTGCCGGCAGCTTACCTGTCGAGGGTTTGCAGCAGACATGACCAAAACATTTCTCCAGCTCGGACAGCTGGTGACCGCATTGCTTTGCCGAGCTGCAGGCTAGCGGCTAGTGAAGTCACGATTGCAGGCTAGGGCTGGTTCAGGCTGCTTCGTTATTGAAATGCAAACACCCGAAGCTCGAGTCTTGAGAAGCTGAACCAAAATGGGGCGGACCCTCGCAAGATCAGTACTTGTACGCCGACTGCGCATCAAGTTGGGTGCACTCTGACTGCAAGTTGTTTCTCAGGAGAGTGCTTTGCTCAAATCTGTCCGGTTCCAAGACAAACCCTGCAAAGACCTTTCGATGCAAAGGCGCTTACCTGCGAGGCTGCAGAAGAGCTTGCGCAGGAAGCAAGAGCAGCCCCAGCAGCTGTCAGGACCTGATCCACCACGAATAGGCATGATTCCACGGTGCTCTGACATAAGGTCTTTGTTGCTTTGACCCTGCTCCTGCCAGCACCTCAGTTTGAGCACGTAGCTTCGGCTGAGGAGACATGGACAGATCGAAGTTCACGTCCTAATCCATCCTGCCGGAAGGGAAATCCAGCTTGAACGGAAACCGGATGCACAGTAGCTCAAATTCGAGTCGACAATCTCAAGCCTGCAAATGACTCCAAGATGGCCATCAAATGAGCGAGAAACTCTGAGTGAGCATCACCCAAAACGTGGGGCGACTCTTATCGAGAGTTCGCCTTTGTCACCAAATGCGTTGAGACACCAGGAGCTAATAATAGGGAAATTTCAGGCACGTCTTGGAAAGCCCAAGTGATGCGAGCATGGAGTCAATCGTGTGGTGTCTGTTGATCGCATCTTGGCTAAGTTTGTTCCTGTTTCGTGGCAGCTCGGCCGGCCGCTCAGGATGTGTTTGGGATCACGCCTTGTGCTCAAAGCTCTGGCTTTACTTCGTCGCTTGGGGAGGCTAGCAGCGCCAAGCCAGCAGTGAAACGGGGCAAGAATGAAAAGGAGGCGCTGTTCAATCTCGGGCATGGCGCAATTGAGTCCGCCCTGGCGAAAAGGTGGTGGACTACCATGACAGCGCTGTCACCAGTTTTCTTGACAGGCTGCGCCTCGATCCCAGGTTAAGGCAGGCCAAGATTGTCAATGCGAGGCTTGGCGTGCCACAAGAGCGGCATTTGGAAGCCTGCTTCGTGCCGTGTGGAGGCCTTGCGATCATCCCCCCTCCCTCGCTGCCTCCCCGACGACTCTGTGTCTCTCTGTCTGTTGGATTCGAGGCTTCATGGTGAACGGGCAGATTTCCGAATACGAGAATGATGTGTGCTACGGAAAGATGCTACTTGAATGCAGGTGTACATCGCATGGAGGTTTGAACGTTGTGTCTTCATCGGACGTGTCGACACATGTCACGATCATCAGCACGAGGCTTGAGATGCATCGAGCAACGCATGACAAGGTGCTGAATGTCTGCAGACACCCGCTGCACTGCTACATGATTCATCCGATGAGTTCACCTCCGCAGGAGCTCGACAAATCGGCAGATTACCCCTACGGGACCGTATTCGTGTTCCAATTCAGTGCTTGTGCGTCGTGGAAGGAATGAACAGGAAGGGTGTGCATGGCAGGGTCCTGACTGAGAGGAGCTATTTCGTTGGCAAGAAGCGTTTGTGGGAAACTCGCGTGCAGTCCGGAGCTTGGCAACCTGCACCTGGCCGTTCTGATGCGCTCACACTTACCATTTCAGGTTGAAGTTCAAAAAGCCCCCGATTCAGTCTGAAATGTTCCTGGGCTGCAACAGCATCCGCGCCAGGAAAGTTGTCACGCGAAAGCTGTAATTCAGCGGCAGGTTTTTCGGCATCGAGCTGGAGAAGTATGTCGGCATCTGACACTTCAGTACTACTACCCTGCGCCCGTGAGTGTGTGCTTGAGCTAATGCTTTTCAAGGTTCGCCATGCATGCACAGGTGCCAATGTCCAGATCCGTCAAGCGGACAATGGATGGAGTAGTTCGCATGTTGAAGGGTGCCAAAGCCCTAGATTTGCGGCTCTGCAGTAGTTGTCAACTCTCAAGCAGTTGTCAAAGGATGTACGCTTTCGCAGGTGGTGGGAAACCAAATATACCACAGCGTGGGCGAAAACCCGGAGGACAGCTCGCCCCGAAGCAACAGTTCAAAACAAGATTCAGCTCGGGTTGGAGGTGTGCGTGGAGCTAGGGTCAGCCTGCGGAGGAATGTGCGGATTCGGCAGAGCTCGAGATGTCCCGACCTTATTCCAGGGAGAGAGCGAGAGTTCACAACTTGAACAGGCTCAAAATCGTCTCTGGCAGGCCTACGTTTGTGATGCCAATGTGGGCATTCGATCAGTACATCGTCACAGCTGAAGGAGCAGGGGCCTCGGCTAATTTCCAGACTCTTTCCGCACTCCTGTCCGATCCAAGGAAGTTCCGCCAGAACTGGATGACGAGTGCATCCCAGAGTTAGGTTCGACGCTTCACTGCTGAACCATGAGACTGAGAAGTAGCTCCTTGAAGCTCCATGCCCCGACAATTTGCCATCCCAATGACTGCGATTCCAGTAATCTCGACGTAGCATTCTGCAAAGTATTTAAGGCACTGTGCTGAGCAACTCAAGAATTGATGCTTTGCAGGTTCGAAACGCTCCGGCAGAGCCGCGAGCCCAAATGATACTTGCATTTTGATTTCTATTCCGGACACGACTGACGACCACATTTAGAGATGTAGAGCTGAGTATGGACATGCTTTTGTGCGTGTTGTATTGTGAAATCGAAAAGGTCTCGGAGTTTCGAAAAGAACTCGACAACATGGTGTTCGAGGCTGCGTGGTGTCAGTGTGCTGACTGCGCATGGGGTGCAATCCGGTACACGTTGTGGATGTTCGCACATTGTGTTATCGGTGCAGGCGGGGGTTTAGCACAGACAGGTTGGCCCGACTTATACACTCTGCTTCTGGGGCATCTCCCAGTGGCTGGACAAGCTGAACTGGCAGGCCATTGACCGCAGTCAAGTCAGCGAGTTGAGACTGGAACTCTATAAGACATGAGACGCTAAGCAATCGATTGGGTACGCATCGGAGCGTCTTGAATGCTTGTGTGCAACGCAGCTCAAGCTGCCTCTTCTTGGTCGACTTCACATGGATCAGCAGGGCTCCTATCAGCAGTAGTCCCGAAGTGACACCGTCTCAGTCTCAAGTCTTGGTTGGCCTTCGAACCCTGTGCCGAGGTTTGCTGGCTCACCACCGGTGCATGCAGTGGACCGAGTTCAGATTCCAGTGGCGGTGATTATGGGCCGCTTGAGACTGTTCGGTGCCAGGTTGTCATTTACACCCTCAACAGATCGCATGATGGGGATGATAAAAGACGCAAGCCTGCAACATGGAGCTGCATCGCATGCTTTCAGATTGGTTTGCCAAGAAAATGCAACTCTCCCAGGACATCTCAATTCCAGGCCGGCCGGGCTGTCGGAATTTAACGCATGAAAGAGGACTTATTGGAGAGCAGCGTGACTCTGGCTAGCCATGGCTGATTCAGGAAGCAGTACTATCTCAATGTTGCGTTCTGGAGCTCCAAAGAAAGGCCAGATCCGTATAGTGGCCGGCTGCGGACGACGGTTTGGTGGGGAGTAAACTCCGGATACAAAAAGTCGAACGAAGCTGCCGTCAAAGCTTGGTTCTTGCGTTTGCAGTTCTTTGAGCAAGCAGTTGTCAGCGTATGCATTTTGCGAGGCCTCGCGGTGAGCGTGTCATGGAGCTCCTTGGTGCCGTGCATTCCTTGGCCAGCAGTTCACTCAGTAGCTGCACTCATGGACCTGCCCGGTAGGCAACACAAGCGCTGGATCCAAGCCGGTTCAGCCGCAGCCACAGAAATTGAAAGCCGCAGGGTAGCTGTGGAATGAAGTCGAATGCTGTGGAAGTGAGGCCCGCGCATGGGCGGACTATCCCCAGTGAAGAGGCGAGCAGATGCAGGCCGGCAGATAAGTAAATTGAGCTCGACACTCCTCGGTACGGAGATTTGATGAGGTGTCGCCTCCAGTTGGCTGGCCTGCTGCGCGGGGCACTGATGGACTAGTCTGAGGCATCAGCTCCCTTTCGTCAGGGAATGGTGACCAGACTTACCGAATGTCTTGTTGTGGCATGCGGCATGCTTAAGAGCGACCGGCGCTTCCGACACCGGTGACCTGCAGTCTAATGGTCTCATCGTCCGTGGCGCAAATTCGGTTTCACCCAAATCGGTATGGAGAAAAGCGGGGGATTGAGCTGCCCACAGGGGGCATCTCCTTGCGCTTTTTTCCAGGCGTGGTTCCAACGTTTGTGTTGATGTCACAGGCAGTATCTGCCAGTTTCGCGAACACTGGTTGCCAGCATCCGGTCCATATTGCCTACACTACGTCCGAGACTGACTCTAGTCAGCATGTTGTACTTCATCATCTCGCATCGTATGGTATCCAGATCAGATCGTAGCATATCATAGCGAATTTCGTAACCTAACAGTCATAACACAACAGTACAACGACTTGCCAGCCGATCCGGCTGGCCTCGCAAATGGCCATGTCCACAGCCCTCGGCTTAATATGGTCCGTGCGACACGATTGCTCAGGCATCAAAAAGGATGCCTTAGCATCTGAGATTCCACCGTCGGGGCTGAATTTGCAGGAGAGGTCTTTCAGAGTGCCCAGAGCATAGAAGTAAGTGCTATTGGCAGCGGAGTGTACGTCCCTTTTTCGCATGTTCTAAAAAGAACCCTCACCTGTTACTTGTCCTACGGAAAACTCATCTACTTGCGCTCTGCCGGTGCGCTAATGCAAGGTTCAGCAGCTTGTTGTCTTGCTTGCGGCCATCCTCCTGCTTGACAGGCATAGTAAAACATTGCAAAATCAGGTTAGTGTGGCAACCTCTCCTGGAGCGTACCCCGTAGCGACGATTTCTTTTCAGCATGCACCTGCGCCAATGTCCATGCAGGCATTGAAGATGCAGCTGCATGCGCCACGCAAGCGATGTAGTGTCTTGTTACTGGCATGCTGAATTGTAAAAATCATGCCTGCTTCCGTAAGATACCGACGCGTTTCCTGATTTGATACGGGATGTTGCCATCGTGACGGCATGCATAGACAAGGCAGTGCGAAGACCTGCGCAATTCGATTCGATCTCCTGCGCAGACTGCGCGTTCCTGTCCTCATCGGAACCATTGACAAAAAACATTTTGGATCATTTTGGTGTCTTCGCCGTGGCCATGTATGTGGAGTGGATGGCTGGATCGTTGGCATTATGTATGTCTTTGCCCTGCTGCTCTTCAGCTTCTCACTTCGCTTGAGACCTTGGGGCTACTGGGTGCATCGTATCGGAGCCCGTCACGCGGCATCCAGGCACAGCACATCGGCACATCGGAGTTCAGAGCCGCTGGCATTCTTTGCATGCAGGATGTCCCGCGCACGGTCCAGTGGGCCGCCCAGAACCTGCTTCAGTGTTAAAGCCTCATGTCATGCGCTTCGGAGGATCGCCACTGCCGGCGGACTCGTTGAAGATATCTCGCACCATTGCAGGCTTCGGTAAAGCGCTGAGATCCCGGTCAGTCCGTGGCCATGGAGTGTCGGGTCATAATAAGGGGGTGCGACTGGCCTATGTAAAGCGAGGCCGATACGCCTCCAAGCGCCCAGATGGCCTTCGAGTAGACCGTGATGGCTGCATGAAGCTAGATGTGCCTGCCTGAGAAGGTTGAGCTCGCTTGGAATTCGCAAAGCGGATGCCTGTACCGTGTGGCTACCTAACCGTCCGACAGAGGACATCATGAATTGCTGGGGGGAGAGGCGCTTTTCAAGCTGCGAAAGACTTGCTTCGCTGTCGCTGGAGTCTAGCTGCAGTGATGGAAGCAAGCAGTGACTGCAGGCATGGTCTCCGAGAAACGGACATCTTACATGCCGAAGCACAGCTGCAAGCAGTTTAAGCGCCATAGAATGCCGCTTCCCAGCAGATGCAAGTACTCAAGTTGGTGTTTTCAGGTCGAGGAGACCAAAGTTTCTGTACGTTTCTGTACCGCATAAAACTCACAGCCCTCGTGCGAAAACATGTCAATGTGCTGCCAGTGGCTGTTGAGGTGAGGAGACACATGCAGGGTCCTCAGCTCTCTATGCTGCACTGCTTCACTGCAAACCACTGCGAGAGTTGGGGCCAGGTTCCGCGAGCATGAGAATGGTGGGTCTCTACGCTTTGCCATCGACGGCCAGCCGTCCAGCTGTTTGACACTCCTTGGTTGAGTGCTGGCCGGGCAGGTGACCATGATGGAGGCATTGTGATACGTGCCAGGGACCTGGATCTCGGGCTTAGGAGCATTCGCAGGGCCTCGCAGCGTGTTGTAGCTGGTTGATGCTGTTTGTGCATTTCGATGCGGTCTCCTCAATGGTCCTTGCGTTCGGGCAAGAAGGTGATGCCAAAAGAAGACGAAGGCCAAGCCTGCGACCGCAAAATCCATGGTTCGTGCATTTTGCATAGCGGTCCATGGAGCACAGCCCACACCTCTCTGGCCTTGCGCGAAGACCGAGTGGATCGACGTCGACGCCATGCTTCCCCTCAGAACGGTGTTCTTTTCCCCGCGTGACATTCTCATTCTGCGGTTTGCATCTTGTAGTGCCTTGCAGTGCCGCAAATGCAGAAGCCAGCTAGCACCCAGGGTGGGCATGAGACCGCCAGAGAAGCGAATACCGAAAAAGACGGGTCCTCGGATGTGTGAAAGAGGACACACTGCCAGCGCTGTTGCATGGTTTCTACCTTGTCAGGATAGGAAGCGTGACGAAAGCGCCAGTGCCGACTAGGCTGGACCGCAGCGGGCAACAATGGGCAACATGATTTACTGGCAAGGCTTTGAGAGCTTTGTTTTGCTTCTCAGGCCTCGCCCTATCAACGGAACCAAACCGCAGGAGCCCAAGAGACAGAAGAAGAGCCGCAATTCGAGCTGCCCGGGCTCTCATCTGCCCAAGGCCTGCATTGGCTGACAAGCTCGAAGCCAAGCCTGGAACGCTGCACCGACCTGATGCTTGTGCTCATGTGTTCTCTGAGGTTGTCAATGTCGCTGGACACATGAAGTTGTGTCTTTCTTGTGTGGCATTGGGTACTAGTACCACTGAGACAAGCCCATGACACAAATCCGGTAGGACGACTTGATCAGCACGAACGAGGTCATAGACTTGGAGGCCGTGAGCTGTCCTGAAAATTCAATCCGCGACACGATGTTGTGAGAAGGGCTGTGCTGGCAGGCCGATGACATGAACGAGGCCAGGCAGCAACGGGCCAGCAACCCATGTCATCAGGCTTCTGAGCAGCGAAGGTCCCACTTCCTGTGCCGAGTAGCACTGAGGTCAGGCACTCTTTTCGGCAGATGGGCCTGACACCGGAGACGATGTCCTGACCTGTGTCGGATAGTCTCAGTCGCCTTCTCAGTCCATCGCCCACGAGCCTCAAGGCATCTGCGAAGACCTCCTCAAGACAGAGGTGAGGGCCGCAATGGAAAAGGCGGCTGCGATGCAGCTCTTGCTTGGAGAGAACGGCCCCAAAGCTGCACATGTCCTTGCGTGATGCAGGCGGTGACCGTCCAGAGGCGCAGGATTTCCCTCATGCACATAATGGCTGAGGCTGCAAGTCTGGTTGTGCGTGAACGAGCCAAGTCTGTTTGTTGAAAGGGGACAAGGAGAAAGTACGCCATAGCATGGACTTACGCAACAAAGGAGCGAGGAGAGGAACAATCACAAGAGCCGTCAAGCCTACATCATCGTCAAAAAGGAGCTCAGAATGACATTCCATGACCCGCAGTCACCCCGATAGCTATCGGTGATTGCAACCGCACAAGTGACAATCACTGCAAGAATCATTGCTGGCGTGGTGGTGGTAGTTTGAGAGATTTAGAGCATAGTCATAGCAGCCAGGAAGAACAGCACAATGACCACAATCATCAGTCATTGTCAACCACCAAAGGCTTTCGCGATCATGGCACACCGGCATAAGCAGCAAGAGTCCTGAAACAAGCGTTCCGCGGCAGGCAACTAAACGTACACAATAAGTGAGCCGCAAGGGAATGGTCGTCCACAGGCAAACCCTTAGAGATGGCAACAAGAACACAGGCAGCAAGCGTCCATTCATTTCGTGTTTGCTTCGTCGGTTGCAGACGCGTGGTCGCAACCGCGGAGGTTGGAGTCCAGAACTTGGTCATGTTTGCTCTTTGCTTGGTGCACAGGGTGCACGGCGAGGTCCGGCAGAGAAGACGCACCGCTACATTTCCTGGATTGCAAAAGCCGGCTTCAAGGCTCACCTGAACAGCATCAGAAGTGAAAACCTGCGGTGCCCCTTTTAGAGAGCGGGATCCATCGCTGTGGCTACCAAGCTCTCGAAGCGCCAAGCAGTTCAGGAGCTTGGCCTTGAGCAGCAAGCAGGAGGCGGCCCTTTTGCATTTCGTTGTTGTGGAGACTGGCGCACGTTGTATTTATGTATATGCTAGACACGTGCATGCTGATACCGTTTTGGTGACGTGTAATTACCAGCATGCTTGTATTGAATAGGTTTGCACTTTGGATGCATAGATCTGCCGCTTTTCTCTGCCAGGTTGGCTTGAGCTCGCCGGTATCGCTGCAGCAGTTACAAGGAACAGGTGCACGCAGGGTGCTGCCTGCAGTCTGGAACTCCCTGGGACCAACTATGAGGGAATGCCTTTGATTGCAGGAAGGACCTCGGGGATTTTGACGCGGAGAAGTTAAAGATATATATCCAGGAGCGCTGCTCGCTGTAACTAGGCGATATCCAGGCTGTCCATGGCACTAGGTGTGCCAAAATCAAAGGATGCAGTAGGATGTGCAAGGGTGCTCAAGGGCGTGTCAACACGGGGCTATGAAACCAGAAAGCTTAGACGAGAAGCTGAAGATGAAGACCGAGCTATGTGTGGAATGGACCCGCCGCCGCTAGCACAGGAGACCGATGTCGATGGACGCTTCGAGATCAACGGCTGCCAGCTCCGGAAAGTCGACAAGGACTGTTTGGACTCGAGTTCAAATACGGCAGAGTTTTCTCTGCCCCGTGCAAGCACGTAGCCACGTAGGCAGATCGACGACGCAGAGATTCGCAACGATCGCCTTTCGAGCCCAGCAGCGCCCCAACAGGGCAGGCAGCGGTTGACAACGGACGAGCTCTCCAACTCTCATTCGCCAGTGCCAGGCCGCAGCGCGCGAGCCGCTGGAGATGCTAGAGGCCAAACAAAATGCCTCCGCAGCTCAACGTGAGCTGAGCGATGTGGGCGGAGCGTGACACAGGTGTCTTCATCTGCATCATCTGGACGACATCGCAGGCTTCTGTCAGTCGTCTGCGGTTGATTCACGAGGTGCAGAACAACTTTCCTTCGTGCTTGAAGGCGGTCTCGATCGTTGTCGTTGGGATCTGATTCCGACAGGTCCGGTTTTCGCTCTGATCAGTAGCACTTGCATGTACACCTTCTACTTCGGCCTCACTTGGTCACTCTTGCATCGAAGGCCGGGTGCAGATGACCCAGAGGCCTGCCTGCTCCATTCAAGCATTGACCGGACTGTGCTACTGCTGCCAACACAAGGATGATGCTTTGGCAGCGAGGTGTCAAAACCTCCGGGCCAGTTCCACAGACTGCTTGGAGCGATTGGTGTCCCGCCCGTTATTGCAATGTCGAGGTTTCTGGCGACATGGAAGATGCAACATGCTTAGACGAACCCTTCTTGGGAACGCGTGTATGCGTGCAGCGCTTGCTGCAACAATTTTGGCTGTGTGAGTTTCGCAGACGGTACTTCGAATGTGTTTTGTGCGACCTGGCCACTGTCTCGTGCATCATTTTGAGGTCAAGCCGGAAATCAAGACAGAGCTCAGGTACACTGCTGACAGCATGTGCCTGCATGACTACATGGCTCTAGGAAGATGTTCATGCTGAATTGCTGGCAGGCCCAACAAAGGTACAGTGCAGGCCGGGGGCGTTGGCAAGGGAGTCTTTCAGCGTGCCTTGACACGGACCCTTCTTGGTTGAAGTTGAGGCTTGTCCATTTGCAGTTTCCTGGTCCTGCTCCGATCGAAAAAGACTTGAACTTGGACCAGATAGCAACGAGAAGCCGTCAAGCACAGCATCCCTTCAGCTGCAGCCCGGTTCGCCCCCGGCCAACTTACGTGCCGTTTTCTTGACACCCCAGTCGCTGTCGGTTACCGGTTTGAAACCGGCTTTTGCAGATTCCCACGCCGGATCCTCCGCCGGGGGAGTACTGGACCCAATACAAGGAGCATGCCGTAGCATCTGCCATTGTGAGATGCCATCAGCCCGCAGATGCCGGTAGGCATGCCAGGGATAGTAAACTTGTCGCCGAGTGGCCTAAGACCAGCTTTTCTTCAGCTTTTCAATGACCGGCATGGAAATTGCAGGACGAGGGTGACAAAGGCGAAGAAGCTTGCTGGCTTTGTTTGCTTTGATGGTGAACTGCAAAACCTGTTTTGCTCATTGGTGCCACTGGTGCTCACATGGAGCACCGTGCAGGTCTATTTTGGTGGTTCTACGAAGGTCCATTGGGTCAGTGGTGGGTTGGTGTCAGCCCCAGTGTCGTGCCTGGTTGCAAGACGAGCTGTCTTAGCATGGGTGCAGCAAGACCTATGATCATGCAGGCCAGGATGGTGGGGAGCCTCTGCAATATTGTGGCTGAGAGGCTCGCTTTGATAAGTTTACGCTTGCCTTGAATGCTGCTGCAAGTAACCACGCGTCTGGCATCAATACTCAGATAGACGGCTTCCTGCCGGATACAAGGCCTTTGGCCTAGGCCTCCTTCAATGTGAAATCGCACCAACCATACCAGTAGATAGGAGCATCAGCTTCCCCGAAGAGCAGTGGTCGTGCAAAGTGCGACTATGCCGGGCGACAAGGGACACAACACAGACAAAAAGAAATTCTGCACTAAAGCCCGATACGTTGCAAGCTTCACAAACGACATCCACAAGGGCCTCATGCAGGGCCATGTAGCCACAGAGAACCAGGGACGAAATTCGCTTTGTGTCTGAGTGTGTGCGTGTGTGTATGGGGGCAAGCCCAGTAATTCAAGAGATATGGCTTCTGAATTTCTCGCCCCTTTTAGCATATGAGCTTCTGGGGCAATCCATCCTATTTCATCCACATAAGAACAGGAAGGCAAGATTGCCGGGGAAGCGACGGATGTAGCAGGAGCCTTCTGCACACCAACTGCTCACCTGCCACAGCCCTTGCGCATCCTTATGCACACTTCTTGCGGCAAGGCCACCTTGCTCCAGCAAAACCTTCGTCATTGTCCAACCGAGGCAGGAAATCAGCCTCCAGTTGTAGTCGATGTAGAGTGTAGACAACAATGCACCGCCGCAGCGCTTGAATTCTCTTGGGCTGGTCTTCTAATCGATCCTCCACAGTCTCCACATGTCAGTGAGTTACCTGCAGGCAGCTAGCAGCCTAATAGTTATTGGTGTGCCCATCAAGCAAAGGGGAAACGGTCTCTGTAGTACGTTCCGCATGAATGTTTGTCCGATCATTCTAAGACAGTCCCTGAGCAGGGCTGGCGGCTTGCCCGTGGAATGTAGTGTCGTAGGAAGTCTCTTCTAACATCAGAAGGCCAGTTGACATAAGAATGAGCCAGGGCCAGGGTGAGGTCTGGTCATTCCACGAGGCACCTCCGCCGACCAGTGATTGTTATTTGGCAAGCCTTCCATTAGAGGAGCTTGCGCCGCAGAGATCTGCCAGATGGCAAAAATCGCTTTTGAGCTTTCAGCTTTGCTCTCGGCCGCTCACGTGGCAGACGCATGAGTTGGAAGCCTTCGTGACCGCAGGAAGAGCATTGATGATGATGATGATGATGGTCTTGGTGGTGTTGGTGGTAACGGCGGTGACGACAACAGTGGTGATGTTAATGAAGCATGTTGGAGAATGAGGATGGAGAGGGAGATGATGAGCACAGACAATGGTCAAGATGACATGCTAACGATGGTGATGGCGATGGCAATGATGATTGGTGATGGAGATTGGTGACGTTGATGGCGATGATGAATGCGATCAGATGATGCTGATGATGATGAGGATGATGAGGATGCGGATGAGCATGATTATTATGATGATTCAGATGGTTATGATGATGGTGATGGTGATGATGATGATGATGATGATGATGATGGCGGCTGCCGCTGCTGCTGCTGCTGCTGCTGCGGAAACGGTGGTCCGCCACAAGGCCGGCCCTTCAGTCGGGTCCAGCCAGCAAGGTGTTATGAGCATCATAGGTATCAGAGAAATTCGTTCCCAGGTTTTCTCGAGCATCTGCGCGACTCACGCTCCAAAGCGGACACAAGCTGCGCATGCTCCTGCTCCTTCGCTTGTGCAGGTCTTGCGTAACATCTCCAGATGTCCCCGGCTGCCTCTGCCCACTCTCAGAGTCTCTATTGTCGACTGGCCCCATGATTCCGTCCTGACATTCCCGCTGCGGCATTGCAGTAGCGTCGTGGCTTTTCACCGAATCAGCAAGGTTGTTTGTTGTCTTGATGATTATGTGGGATTTGGGCAAGCATTTCTTCATGGAGACCATGCGGTGTAGAGTACATCGCAGATAATGCCAGCACCGTGGCCATTGGAGCGAACCTGTTGCAGTCCTCGCCCTGCAGATCCCTGCGGACTTCGAGTCTTTGGGCTGGTCACTTCTGCCCTAAACTTTGGGAATCGGTGAGCAGTAGACATGTAGCAGCCATTATTCAGCCTGCCCGCTTGGGGACTGTGCTTCCTTGCAACGTGACAATACAAATCCTTGAGTGCTTGCCCTGTTTGTCAGTTTCGATTCCGATGCATCTTGGCTCGGATAGTTCCAGCGTGCCGCATAGTTCATGTACAGTGCAAGGTAGGTGAAAGATGCCTGCAGAGATGGCGGCTAAGCCCGGCACCAAGACGAGAGGAGAAGATGAAGAAGTAGCACGGCGGAGGTTGTTCAAGGGAACTCGTTTGTGCACCTTGGCGGGCATTGTCATATTCACCATTAGCGAGGAGGTTTCCAGAATGCTGCCAGCTACTTGCTCGGTGGTGGCTGATGGACCGATCGTTCCTTTGAAGTCACACTCTCTGAGCAGGGTCGGCTAGCATTCAAGTTTAGGACACCTTGATTCTGGTCACAAAACAGGCCGTGGCGTTGAAAGCCTGAGGTGGCCAGGGTTTGTATGAGGTGCCCTGCGGTGAGCATGTTCATATTCCAAGTGTTGCCTGTAGAGTTCTGAGCAAAGCTGAGCAGAGGGCAGAACATCGGCTGAGGCAAGTTCTTTTTAGCTGGCTGCTGCTCACGTGGAGAAACCTGCAATTTTGCGCACTCCGTCGATGACCTCAAGCAATTTCCGGACTTCTCCAAGACTAGGCTGTGTGAGCCCTTCATGAAGAGCAGCCAAGAAGCAGTTGGAAGAGTAAAGCACTGCATCGCTGGGCTGTCGTGATGTGATGCGACTCAATGTGAGACTGTCGCCCAAGGTGGCACATGTGAGCAGGGCACCTTGGCCTGCCAGCAACACTGTAGCAACATCAACGTGTCGTCCAGCGGAAACTGTCGCGCGGGAGGAATCAGCAGGAATGAGAGAGATGGGTTACATACCTCACTGATTGAAAGACCTGAGCTTGCCAAGGTGTCAATTGCAAGTTTGCTCATTGCCGTGATGAGCTTCGACCAAGCTACATCTCCTCCGCGAAGTCTAAACGGGCTGCAACCGGGGCAGCTTCTTCACAAGTTCCACAAGAGCCAGCGCAGGCATGGACCGAGATTGAACATTGCTCTAACTTGCTCTTCGACAGTGAAGCCTTGCAGGTGCCAGCGACAGCTGGCCAGGAAGGAGAACAGCCGGTCTCCCAGCTTCAATCGTTGATGCCAGCGACGAAGGCCGGCATCATTCACAGCGCCGCCATGTACACCCTGATCTTGCAGGGGCTCAGCGGCCAAGGCGGTCAGGGTGGACAAGGACCAACAGGACAAGGAGTAGGATCTGGACAGGCAAGGTGTGAGTCCCTACGGCTTCCCATGCAGTGTACCACCGGCCAGCCATGCCAGCCTGAAAGGGTATGCCCCGCATCACCATGCGAGATAGACAAGGGAGGCTCCAACTGGAGCAGGCAGTCCACAGAAGTGGTAGACGAAGATGGACGTCGTTTCAGCCGGCAAACTACAGAGGACCCGAGCTACAGTCGCCAGACAACTGCCTTTAGCCGCCAAACTACTGAGGAACCTTCTTACATCGTCGGCAGCAGCCGTCAAGCACCAGAAGAGCCGCGACGGCCATTGCCGCTTTCGGAGCTACTCAGCCTTCCAGAGCCTGAACCCGGTGAGCCCACCGAGTCCTCTCAGCAGCCCAGCAGAGCGGTGAGTCGTGGCAGCTCCGAGTACGAAGCACGGGAGCGCTCTGAAGAGCTCAATGTTCGGTTGAAGAACACCTTCCTCCATTTTGAGACGGCACAAACATCAGATGCGAGCACAAAGGTGAAGGCGCGCCCCTCTTCGTTGCCACCAAACTTCCTCGGGCGTGGTCCTGGAATGAATGGACGCTCAGGTAGTTAGGACAAGCAGCTTGTGAGACTTTTGAGCGTGCCTTTTCCCGACCTCTGCGTGGCACAATGTTTGTCTGTTTCAAGAAGCTGGCGGCAAATGTTGCCAAGCCTTCAGAGCAACAGAGCTCAACATAGTGAGTGGAACTCCTAGAAGTGCTTGGAATGCAATTTTATCAAGTGTTTCGTTGTCAAAGAAGCAATGGTCCTACCTGGCCCCATGGAGTGTGATGGGAGTTGGTTGTCGAGGCCATGAGGCCATGAGATGACAGCCCTTCCAAGTAGTGAGTAAACAAGAAAGTACCCGCTTTGTCGAAGTTCGTGCCCCAACAAGCATCACACTGTGTTTGAAGTGAATTCATGCATGTGCCCGTCACGCTTGCGTTGGCGCAATCCCGTGAGCTTCGATGGGTACTCCCCATATGCGGCTGGAGGTCAATTGACCACAAACGACCCGGCCGTTGTGGCCAGTTTTTGGCTTGCCAGGTAGACATTTCTGTTTGACTCGCCTTTTTCTGCTGGACCGAGCCGCTGGGCCGGCATACTGCAGCCACCCAAGACCTGTTTCGCAAGGGGCATCACATGGTAACGTGGTAACATAGTAGATCGCAGAGGCGTGGTGGCAGATAGGCCAGTTGCACCCGGCCCTACCATGCTGTTCTGATTCTGGTGATTGCCAGTCTGCAATGAGAGGACAAGGGATGAGTTGTTTCGTTTGTATCTGCTTTTGAGTGGCAGGCAGGACCGGCATGTTTCCGGAGTGCAATCTGCATGCACTCCTGCTTTGTGGTTCCTGAGTCTACTGTCTGTACATGACTTCGCGTGATGGCGCGTTCATGGAAACACATGTGCCAATGCCCGAATGGCCTGACCGTGACATTGTAGACTCGCCCGCACATTTTGCCACGGCAGTTTGTACCTGCCGCCGCAGTGGTCAGCCTGTTCAAGCCTGTTCAACAATGAATTTCAACATGGCCAACACTGATACCCCGCAGCCTTCCGAAACACATTGTGACATCGTGGTGTCGACATGGAGCCGTGATCACTTCTGCTTAGCGGATCAACATTATCAGCAATTTGACATTGCGGCCATGCGTCGAATCGCCGTCCTCTCAGCGCATGCTACTGCCAGCGAGCCGTATCGAAGCGACTCCTGGCAAAGAGCAGCGCTGGCTGTAAGAGGAAGACGTGCATTGGTTCGGATGAGTCCCAGGCCACAGAACCAGCGCGAACGATGAATAGCAGAAAAGCAGGTGTAGGAAAATAGGAAGGAAAGGTACCCGACCGAGTCTGTGATAAGCACGCCGAGAGAGACAGAGAGAGACAGAGAGAGAGAGAGAGAGAGATAGCCATTTTGGCTCAAGCCACGAGTGGTTCAAGGCTGGCCGAGGCACTTCAGACAGTCCGCCCTCACTTGCTCTTCTCTCACTCTCTCTACTCTTCGGGGGGAAAGCCTCGGTCGGACCTCAACCCGGGGGTCTTGCCCTGCTAACACAGCACATCTCGCTCGCTCTCTCTCGACGCGATTGCTGCTCACCGACAACAATATCCGTGCGCTCCTCCAGCCCGGGGTTCTGCGCGACAACATAGTCACGGACGGTCCCGGGCGTGATCACTCTGCGAGGCGAGCGGGGGACCCTGACTCCAGCTTTGACATTGGCATCGGCGAACACCACACGCCGACTACCTGTTCGGGGGGATTCCGCGCAAGACCGCCAAGAAGGGACGTGAAAGACTTCGTTGAGGCCCTCCGGCATAAAGCACCATGCTTGCCGCAGGATCTGGACCGGGGGAGACGGGGAGCAACCCCTCCAACGCCCCCAAAAGACAGCGTGAACCGGCAACGGGACGACTGGAGGAAGACGATGAGGCGGAGAAGATTACGCTGAGCTCCATCCGCGACGCCATCCGTGAGCAGCTACGAGAGGAGCGCCACATCCTTACAGGAGAACTCCGCGACGGCTTGGCCCAGGTTCACACCCGCATCGACACGGTCGAGCAGTGCACGACAACTCTCATGCAAACCATCACTGATAAGCAGGTCGCAATAGACGCCAAGGTGGACAAGATCGAGGAGCAGAACACCTGCCTTGTCACAAGAATGGACCTCCTCGAGGGGAAGTTCACCGCTGCGCAGTTCACTACTAGCACCCGGGGATCCGATGGCTCGTCCACAGAGGCGCCAAGGCCAGCTATCGTCCTAGGGGGATGGGCCTCTGAACAAGCTGCCTCTGAGACGCTGCGACTCGTTAAGCAACACGTCGCACAGCTTGAAGTCGACCTGGACATGGACGAGGCCTTTGTTCCAGGGCTTCGGAGGGGTTTTGCGATCCTCCCAGTGCAACCACGTCAAGGCGAAGACGCTGTGAGCCATCGCCGTCGCATCCAGGAATCACTCCGCACAATCAGAGCGGCGAAGATTGTCACGGGCCCCCGCCCTGAAGGGGGAAACAGGTACTTCTTTGCCACGATGAGTCAACCACTGGAGCGACGACGCAGGGCACAACTGGCGGGGAAGATCAAGAGACTCATCTTAGAGGCCGGGGGACGAAGTCAAGCCCTCGAGGTGGAGTATGGCACAGCCAACGTATGGTACAATGCCGTCAAAGTTGCCTCCGGGGTTACTACAGCGCCATCCTCAGCACGACAAGAAACCGGGGGATGGATCGCGATCGGCCCTCTAGCCCGCCAGCTCGGCACATCCGATGCAGCACTGGGGGAGGCATGGGATGAGCTCCGCAAGGGGCTGAGCTGAGACGACATGAACCACGAGATGTCTCACAAGCCCGGGGGGACTGCCTCCGAGTTGCAAATCTTGAGCTGGAATGTGGGTGGCCTAACTATGGCTAAAGCCCTCAAAGTTCTATGTTCACTCCGTGATGCACGAATTCATCCCTTTCACTACAGTCTGGTGGTTTTTCTCCAAGAGATCATCGTCGAGACTGGCAAGCACTTCCACGAGGAAAAGGAGCTCCAAATTTTCGCGAGCAAGAGAGACGACGAATGGCGGGGGACTGCAATTGCACACTCTGCAGATGTCAGCAGAGTGGCGTGCAAACAGCTACGATGTGCCTGCTCCTGCACACTTGAGATAGGCAGGCTGCGATTTGCTGCTGTTTCAGCCCACATCCCGCACAGTGCCAACCTACAAGAGACGGAGGGGATCCTCGAAATGATCGCTGACCAGTTGGCACAAAAGCACAAAGCGGCCCTTGGCCTCGATGCAAACGAAAGTTTCGAGATGCGACAGGGGGAAGCTTTGCTCTCGGAAACCAGCCGGGGGGAAACCATCCTCCGATGGCAAGAACACAACCGACTGGTGTTCCCCGTGCAAAGCATGCACAAGAGCACCTACTACCCCTACAACACCAGGTTCAGAGATAGGCGCCTGGACTACGTCATGCTGAAGCACCTCGAATCAGGGGAAGGTGACATCCTACAACACCGAGACATGGCGACATCGGATCATGAGCCCGTCTGGGTTCCCATCCAGGTTCGGGCACAACAAGCCAGGTTGGCCATACGAGCCCCCGAGTGGGGGAGCCGTCGACTGCGTGGTCCTACCGAGGTCGCTGCCGTGCTGTCCGCTCAGCCCTCCACGGGGGACCGCCTCGCTGCCCTCACCAACGCAGCTGTGGCCATCACCGTCCCAGGCAAGGTACTTCCACATTTCGAGGAGAGCAGCCAGCTTAAGAAGATGCGCCGGGAAGCCGCCATAACTCCGCCGGGCGAAGCCCGCCGCAGCTTGTGGAAGCGCGTCTGCCGACAGCACGGGCGTGAACATGGCAAATGGAGGCAGAAGCTGCTTGATCGCACAGCCCTGGGGGACTGGAAGGCCAAACGAGCCCTGGAACAATCCACCCGCAGCCACTCCTGGGAGCTCCCGCTTACGGACGATCCCAACTGGAAAGACACCCTGACTCTTCACTTCCAGGGGATTTTCCAGAAGCAGAGCCACGACACGGTCGAGGCGGCCTTTGATAGCATTGATGGCCGACTCTGCAAGCTTTGCAAGACTACGCCGTGGCACCCTTTCACCATGGACGAGCTCTCATGCATCCGGAAGCGGTGGAAGAATGGCAAAGCCTGTGGCCCCGACATGGTCTCGCACGA